GAGACAAAAGGAAAAATCAGGATTAATGATCCCGTCTTTATGAAAAATTTTCACATTTTATTCATCGTGGATTTTTAGGTTAAAATTAATTTTTTAAAATGTTTCATTAAAAAGTTATTTATCTTGATTATTGAGTTTCTTGACACCCTTTGAAACTGGTGCCAGAAATCGCCCTACTCTGGGCCTAGATGGCTGCCACCATTTGTGAAAAGCTACATGTGATGACAGCGATATGTATACATTATCTTTTTTTAGGACTCTGCACAAAATACACTTACAGATGAAAAAATGGAACCCTTCAGCAGTTAAATAAATGGTCTAATTTAACACAGCCAGTAAGTTGCTAAGTAGGACTTGAACACAAATCTATCAATCCCTAACACTAAACTCATTCTCTGACCATTGCGAACTGCACCATATCAGGAACTCACAACACAAATTCGTTCATTTGACACATTTTTGAGAGCATATTATATACCACCTTGTGCTAAGAGATACAAAATTGAAATCATTCATTCATCTATACATTTAAAAAGCATTTACTGAGCGTGTGCTATGTGCACTATTCTATGTGGCGGGGATACAGAAGTCAACAAGGTCATCATCTCCTTTCTTATGGGTGTAAGAGGTAGAAGAGACAGTCAATACATAAATGAACCAAGGTTTCAGATAGCAGTATGTTTTGAAGAGACATAAAATAAGGTGATGTGAACTAATACAAGTCGGCCTCTTTGCTGCTGAGCGGGGAGCCCAACACAGGGCTGAGCAGGGAGCCCAACACAGGGCTCAATCTCAGGACCCTGAGATCATGACTTGAGCCAAAGGCAGATGCCTAACTGACTGAGCCATCCAGGCATCCCCACAAATTGGGCACTTTAGATTAGGTGGTCAAGTCAGGTCTCTTAGAGGAAATAGTCTGTAAGGCATGATCTAAAGGACAAGACAATCCAGCCAAGGAAGGACTGGGGAAACAGCATCCCAAGCAGGGGGACAAGCTAGCGCAGGACACTAAGGTCAGAGCGAGTGTGGTATGAAGTGAGATCCTAGAGAGAAGCAAGAGCAGCTCAGGGAGGGTGTTATAAACCAGTGTCGGGAGTATGGGTTTTATTTTAAGTGTGGCAGTACATAGTTAGGACACAGCCTGGCTGCTGTAACAAAATACAGTGACTTCAACAAGATAGGACTCAACACAATGGCTCCATCCATGTCAGTCCTTGTAAGGAATTGATATAAAACCTAAAGTGGGTGGTCATTGGCAGACTTACTCGTTAGGTTCCTTGGACTGTATACTGGGACACTTGAAAGAATCAGTATGACTTAGTGAGATATAACTTCATTGTGATAAGGTACTATAACATCTTTGAAAACTAATTTACCTTGACTCACCTAGAGAGACAAAGTAGCAGAGTCACTAGGACACCAGGTGCTGGTATATTAACTTTGAGACTCTGAGGCACTTACAGGACCTCTCTAAGCACCACCTTCCATATCTGTAGAAGGTGAACAGTGATAGCACTGACCCTGTAAGGCAGTTGTTGCAAAGATCAAGCTAAATGAAGTTAGTATTACTTAGCTCAGTGAATGTTAGTCGTTGTTACCTAAAAAGACATCAATGGGCCATTGCCTCATTTACATGATAGAGTCAACAGGGGGACGCTATCTGTAGATAGCTATTAGCTATCTGTTGAATAGATATAAATGTACTATTATGGTACTGGTAACAATTTTATTTTGCTGTATTTTTAAAATCTAGAAGATTATCATGAACATAAAGTTATATCATAGAGGCTGTCTTATTATGTTCATATTTGTTCTTACACTGATGATTGGATGTTATATTAAGGGTTACATAAAAAAGGAGATGACCAAGAAAAGACTACCTGGGACAGATTGGAGGAATATTCTCAGTGGAAAGGTGAAAACCCCAGGCCAGTTCCAGGCTACCATCTTCTCAATCCCATCCTCCGACCTAGGGCCTTTGGTGCCCCCGTCCATCGAGCACACAATAGACAAGGAATATCAAAATCAAAGTTTTCTCTTCACAGTCATGGCACAAGATGGTTGAGCATAGCTGTGTCCATTTTCCTATATTCTACAAAACAGTTTTATAAAGTGTTCTCATTTTTAAATTACTTAAAAATGGGAAATATCCACATTTTCTAGGATTTCTTAACAACAACAATGACAAATTTGGACAGGTTCTAGAGAAAGAAAAATCCAGATGAGCATGAGGTAATATTCTAGGTATCCTTTTGTCTGAGTTCTGCCAGTTTTGTCCCCTCACCATGTCTAAGTATTTATTATTTCATTTATTTATCCCTAAATTCTGTGGGGAGAGTACTATTAAAGTACTATTACCTGCATTTTAGAGAGGAGGAAACTCATGGATGCTGAGGCTTTTGAGAGAAAAGTCAGACTTCAGTTGTTTAAATAGACACAGAACAGAGACAATTGAAGAATTAAGATTTTCACAATATTCATTATCCAAGATATGTATTAAGCTGCGAGGAACTTTTCTGGACACTGGAACTATAGCAGTGAATAGAACAGATAGAACTTCTGTTCTTTCACAGCTTACATTCTAGTAAGGGGATAAGAAAAGAGAGACTACAAACAAGGTGGTGAGAAGGACTAGAAAGAAAAATAACTTTAAGATAAGGAGAAGAGAGAGTGATTAGGGAGTTGTATTTTGTAGAGGAGGGTCAAAAAAAAGTCTATCTGTCATACAGAGATGTCAAGGGAGTGAAGGAGCATGCCACTTGTCATCTGGGACAAGTGTATTCTGGAAAAAGAAGGGCAAGTACAAGTTCAAAGATCTAATGTGGGGTCATGCTTGGAAAGGGTAAGGAATGACCAGACAAGAGTTGGGAGTTAGGCACTGAAGATGTCAGATCTTGCAAGGACTTGGGATTTTTTTCTGGTTGAGTTAAGAAGCCAGTGGGGGATTTGGAATAAAGGAGTGGCTGATTGTGACATGCCTTTTAAAGATTCCTCTGTCTGTTGGGAGGAAATGACTGAAGAGACACACCGTTGGTAGGAAAGACCCCCTGGGACTCTATCAAGAAAAGAGGCAGTAGGGGAAGTGGGGAGAAGTGGTTAGAGTCTAATACTGAATTCATAAACTCTTAAACTTTATGTTCTCCCACACCAGGTGCAGGGGAGGTGAGGGGAAGTGGTTAGAGTCTAATATTAAACATAAACTCTTAAACTTTATGTTCTCCCACACCAGGCACTGGGAAAATACCAAGGCAAGGTAAATAGCTTGGTGAGTTTTCCTGCTTATCCATGCATGTGTCCAATACAAACTGACCTTCACTTTCCTCAGACTAGTCACTCTTACAGACAAGTAGGGCAACCAAAAGATATATCCATAAGAAGATATGGTGTAGGGAGACCTCTCTGGGCTCTTCACACCAACCCATTGTTCTGAGGAGCTGTGTGTGTGTTTGTGTGTGTCCATGTACCTGTGCAGGCATGTGTATATATTTTGGCATGGTAGAAAGAAATGGAAACTGCTTTCATCATTATTGCTGTTATTTGGCAGTGATCCAGATTGCTTTTGCCACCAACCTGAAGACATATGGCCCCATAAGGACAGAAACCATTCTGTTCATTTCTGTGTTTTGGACCTTCCATGTACACGGGTAAGTCTTGTTGAAAATCAAATATTAGCTCAAAGGACTCTCTATGTCCACAAATATAAAAGTTGAGGAGAGCAATATCTTGACATTAATTCGGGAGCCCATAGTATTCAGTAATAAAAAAAAAATTACTTCATTGAGAACTTAAAACCTGCACATGTTTATAGCTATTGTAGTCATAACTGCCAAAACTTGGAAGCAACCAAGTTGTCCTTCAGTAGATGAATGGATAAATGAACTATGACACGCCCAGATAATGGAATACTATTCTGTGCTAAAAAGAAATGAGCTATCAAACTATGCGAAAACATGGAGGAACTTTGAATGCATATTAGTAAGAGAAAGAAGCTGAACTGGAAAATCTACATACTGTATGTTTCCAGCTATATGCTATTCTGAAAAAGACAAAACTATGGAGACAATCAAAAGATCGGTGGTTGACAGGGGTTGTGGAGCAGGGGGAAGATGAATAGGCAGAGAACAGAGGAATTTTAAGGCATGAATGAATGCATAATGATCAATGCAAGTCATTATACATTCATCCGAACTCACAGAATGTCCAACACCAAGAGTGTGAACTGTCATGTCAGTTACAGACGTCAAGTGATGACAATGCGTCAATGTAGATCCATCAGTTGCAACAAACGAGCCATGCTGATGGGGCATGTTGATAATGGGGGAGGCCAGGTATGCGTGGAGGTAGGTGGATATGGAACGTCTCTATACCTTCCCCTTTCCCTCAATTTTGCTGTGAGCCTTAAGCTTCTCTAAAAGAATAAAGTCTTAAAATCTTTTACTTTCAATTTTTCTTAAAGCCCTCGGGCTATCAAAATGGCATGGAAGGGAGAGTGTTGAGCATGACCTGGCAATGAAATTCCTAAGTGGAACTGGGAAAAAGGCACTTCTGCCAACTATTATATATTTATCTCCCTTGTGGGAATCCTGACTTGCCTCAGCGATGAGGATATGGCACAGTAACTGGCTTGGAAATCTATAACCCAAGCTCTCAGATCAAGTCAAAGACTCAATGCAGTCAATGCAGGCTGGAACCCTATTCCAAACTCTTGGTGAATAGAGTCAATTTTTGGCATTAAAAATAATCTATACTGGGGTGCCTGGGTGGCTCGGTAAGTTAAGTGTCCAATTCTTGATCTCAGCTCAGGTCTTGATCTCGGGGTTGTAAGTTCAAGCCCCATGTTGGGCTCTACGCTGGGCATGGAGCCTACTTTAGATAAATAAATAAATCCTATAGAATTTAACAAATGACATAACCACTTCATATTATATACTTAGTATTATATGTCTTTCCAGGATTTGAAATCATCTTCATCATTCATATGAGGGAACCAGTGATAGAATCCTTGGAGTTACAATGAAACATATCAGAAGCATTTACGTATTTTGTAGTATTGCTGTGTCAGTGCAGGGCTGGGCTTCGAAGTTGCCAGAAGAAAGGGAGTTAACGACCAATTTCTCCAACATGTCTCTAAGAAAGGTTCCTGCAGACTTGACCCCAACCACAACCACACTGGATTTATCCTACAACCTCCTTTCTCGACTCCAGAGTTCAGATTTTCGTTTTGTCTCTAAACTGAAAGTTTTGATTCTGCGCCATAACAGAATCCAAGAGCTGGATGTCAAGACCTTTGAATTCAACAGAGAGTTAAGATATTTAGATTTGTCTTATAACAGACTGAAGATTGTAACTTGGTATTCACTGGCGGGTCTCAGACATTTAGATCTTTCTTTCAATGATTTTGACACCATGCCTATCTGTGAGGAAACTGACAACATGTCACATTTGGAAATCCTAGGTTTAAGTGGGGCAAAAATACAAAAATCAGATTTCCAGAAAATTTCTCATTTGCATCTAAATACTGTCTTCCTAGGATTGAAAAGTCTTTCTCATTATGAAGAAGGTAGCCTGCCCATCTTAAACACAACAAAACTTCACATTGTTTTACCAATGAACACAAATTTCTGGGTTCTTTTGCATGATGGGATCAGGACCTCAAAAGTACTAGAAATGACAAATATAGATGGCAAAAGCCAACTTGCAAGTTATGAAACTCAACAAAATCTTACTTTAGAGGATTCCAAGACCTCTATTCTATTACTTAATAGAGTTGATTTACTCTGGGATGACCTTCTCCTACTCTTCCAGTTTATTTGGCACACATCAATAGAATGCTTCCAAATCCAACATCTGACTTTTGGAGGCAAGGTTTATCTTGACCACAATTCATTTGATTACTCAAAGACTATAATGAGAACTATGAAATTGGAGCACGTAAAATTCAGAGTTTTTTCTGTTTCACAGGAGAGGGTCTACTTGCTTTTTACCAAAATGGATGTAGAAAACCTGACTATATCAGATGCACAAATGCCTCACATGCTGTTTCCTGTTTATCCTACAAGATTCCAGTATTTAAATTTTGCTAATAATATCTTAACAGATGACCTGCTTAAGCAACCTATCCAGTTGCCTTTTTTGAAAACTCTCATTCTGAAGGGCAATAAATTGGAGACACTTTCTTTAGTGAGTTTCTTTGCCAGCAACACATCCTTGAAGCACTTAGATCTGAGCCAGAATCTGTTACAACATCAAAATGATGAAAATTGCTTTTGGCCAGAAACCCTGATCACTATGAACCTGTCCTCCAACAGATTTGCTGATTCTGTTTTCAGGTGCTTGCCCAGAAGTATTCAAATACTTGACCTGAATAATAACAAAATTCAAACTCTCCCTAAAGACATTATTCATCTGAAGTCTTTGCAAGAGCTGAATCTTGCATTTAATTTTCTCACTGGGGGCGCCTTGGTGGCTCAGTGGATTAAAGTCTCTGCCTTCGGCTCAGGTCATGATCCCAGGGTCCTGGGATCGAGCCCCACATCGGGCTCTCTGCTCGCCAGGGAGCCTGCTTCCTCCTCTCTCTCTCTCTGCCTGCCTATCCGCCTGCTTGTGATCTTTTTCTCTATCAAATAAATAAATAAAATCTTTAAAAAAAATTTTTTTTTCTCACTGATCTTCCTGGGTGTAGTCATTTCAGAAAACTCTCAATTCTGAACATTGTAATGAACTTAATTCTCAGCCCATCTCTGGATTTATTTTTAGAGTTGTCAGGAAGTTAAGACTCTGAATGCAAGAAGAAATCCATTCCGGTGTACTTGTGAATTAAGAGATTTCATTCGGCTTGAAAAGTATTCAGAGGGCATGATGATTGGATGGTCAGATTCGTACATCTGCGAATACCCTTTGAATCTAAAGGGGACTCGGTTAAAGGATGTTCATCTTCCTGAATTATCTTGCAACACAGCTCTGTTGATTGTCACCATTGTGGTTATCATGCTAGTTCTGGGGATGGCTGTGGTCCTCTGTTGCTTCTACTTTGATCTGCCCTGGTATCTCAGGATGCTGGGTCTATGGACACAGACACTGCAGAGGATTAGAAAGACGGGCCAAGAACAACTCAAGAGAAATGTTTGGTTCCATGTGTTTATTTCATACAGTGAATGTGATTCTACGTGGGTGAAGCATGAATTAATCCCCAATCTAGAGAAAGAAGAGAAATTGATTTGCCTCCATGAGGGACACTTTGACCCTGGCAAGAGTATTACTGAAAATATCATGAACTGCCTTGAAAAAAGCTATAAGTCCATCTTTGTTTTGTCTCCCAACTTTGTCCAGAGTGAGTGGTGCCATTATGAACTCTACTTTGCCCACCACAGTCTCTTCCATGAAAACTCTACGTAATGTTTATCTTACTGGAACCCATTCCACTCTACTGCATTCCTACCAGGTATCCTAAGCTGAAAGCTCTTCTGGAAAAGAAAGCATACTTGGAATGGCCTAAGGATAGGCGTAAATGTGGACTTCTTGGGGCAAATCTTCGAGCTGCTATTAATGTTAATTTATTAGAAACCAGAGGGATGTGTGAACTGCAGACATTCGTGGAGCTAAATGAAAAGTCTTGAGGTTCTGCAATCTCTCTGATAAGAACAGACTGCCTATAAAATCCTCTCTTCCCCTGGAAAAATGCAAAGGAAATTGGGGCCTGCATACATTTTCAGGATAGAAGTTGATACCCCCTTTATGCTGGTAACTGAGCAATACCATTAAAATGAAAAATGATTAATTTTTTTATGTCCATTCCCGGAAGGATTTCTAAGAATGTATACACAGAAACACAAGTTTGCAAAGGCTTATGTAAAAAGATGTTCATCCCAACATTGTTTATAATCAGGAAAAATCAAAAACAGCTCACATTTCCATAGAAGATTGATTCAATCAATCATAGTTCATTAATGCAACAGAATATTACATACCCATTAAAAAGAATGAGGTAGTTCTATATTTGCTGGTATGAGGAAAATTATACTAATATGATAGTTTATATATTGAAATAAAAGTCTAAATGAATTTGCACCAGTACATTGGTATAGTAACAGTGGTTTGAGTCTAGGAGGTTGTAGCACAGAAAACTTTTTGTTTCTAGGTTGTATATTTCTTTAACATTGGAATTGCTTAAGTGAATCTGTATTTCTTTTGTAGGTAGGAAAACACAATAAAGATAATTTTTAAAGCCTATGCATCCTATCATTTCACTTGATTCTTCCTTTCAAGTCTCACCAGTCATAGAATGAAAACAAGCTTTTCTAAATTTTGCAAAATTATATGTTATTTCCCTAATTAAAAATGAGACTCCCCTCATGAGAAAAATTCCTGTGGCTCAGGATGCCTGGGGTCTCTGTTGGTCAAGAAAAATTTCTGTGACTTATGTAACCATAAAGGAAGAAAACGGCCATATTTAAAATCTGACACTGGTCCCCTCTTACCTCATCTCCATCATCTCCATCATTGAGACCTATCAAGTTATGGGCCCTTTCCCAGAACATTCGGTCTTTGGTATCATGACTGATCATTGAGGGAATCTTACATATCCTTCAAGGTACAATCCAAATGTCAACTCTTTTTTGAAAACTTCCTTACTTCCAAGTATGATGCTCCATAACACTTCTGACATACTTCTATCACCACACTGATCATATATGTTTTTAAAGTTTCCCTTTCTTATTAGACTATGAGCCAGGACAAAGGCCAGGACAGACTCCCCCCTGCCCTTATTTTCAGCAAACATTTGCTCAGTCCCTGGTTCAGAGAATGAGTCAGTGAATGTTTATGTTAGGTAAGCTAGAGGAGCATAGCAGGGACCCAACTGGCTTCGGGTTAGAAAGTCAACTGAGAAGACAAGAATCCAGAATTGAAGAATTTCTGAGTATAGCTTGAATCATGTGAAATTGCCAGTGTGTGATTGCTCTTGGCCTATAAGAATATCTATTTTATCTTATTCAATCTAATAAAACTAATTTCCTAAGCAGGGTAAAATTGGGCTTTACATCTATTTTATTTCCTCATAGTTGTAGTCTTATGAATTCCTCATGCTAGTAGTCATTTGAGAAATTGTAATGAAGATGGTCCACCTGAAAGTGTAGGGACAGAATTGGGTCAATCTCTAAGCCAGATGGTGCTATCATTTGGCTAATGACCAATCTACTGGGAGTAGGCTGAGTGTCTCTCTTCTTCCATCCTAGTGAGCTCATAACCTGTTTGGTAGAAGGGGAAATCCAAGGAAATCACAGAGCAGGGAGAGCAGAGAATGGGGAGAATGCATTTCCAACCAGGCTTTCAGCATCTGGGCCACTGTTGTTAGTGTGACTCATGGCTCCTGGGTGAGTCAGACAGTTGCTTAGGAGGATTTTGTAAATTTTGAGTAAATGACTCAGTGTGAGACTCTTACCTTTAATGGTTAGTTAACTGGGAACATGTAAAGTAGGTAACATTAGCCCTAAAGTCACCAGGATTGAGTTATTCCATGGTAGAATCCTCAGTTTAGTAATAAAGTTTTAAAAATAAATGTACTCTTATCACAACTAAAAAAACAAAAAACCAAAAAAAAAACCCACACACACATCAGGCATAGCTGTCAGCAACTCCTTATTTCAGCAGCTAGACTACCCTTAAATCTGCCCTATCAGTCCATTCTACTATTCCTCTCTCAGAAACTCAGATACCATCAAAAATGTCCTACTTTGCTTGGTTTTGACTTTTCTGGCTCACACTGGAAAATGAATTTTACCTAAGTTTAACGTTGGGACTAGAGAGAGAGGTAGCACCTAGCCTCGTGCAAACCTGATCATATACTTTTACCCAAAACATTTTGGGTTTCATCAAGAGTCCCACTGTCCTCAACCATGACATTGGTGAGGAAGTAAGCATTACATGGGCTGCACATGCAATGACTCTGATCATTATAATCACAGTGTAATGACTCTGATCATGTTTCAAAAGTGATTTCAGGTCTTGTGAAATTGCAAGTTCCTTTTCATTTCCTTGCCATTTGTCAACCTGGAGCTTCTTCCATTTCCACCACCCCTTACCCCCCAAGAAGGGAGAGCTCTATGAACATTGTTCAAGTCTGTCTTGGACTCTTCAGGGTAACTTCCCAGCCACTGGGCCTCTTTGCAGATAAATTACAATCTCTTCAGGATGCTAAGAGTCCAGTGTTGACAACGTTCTATATTCTATAAACCTGGTAAAGAGGTGTACGCTAGCCTGGGATTATAATCCTCTAATTCCAACTGGTTTGGAGGGAGAAGAGCTTTAAATGAGATTTATGGCAAATGTTCCATGAGGTTCAGCTCCTTTATGAATTATAATGAATCGTTCAAGAAGAGCATGGACTAGGAATACTTAAACTGAGTGAGAGTTTAGAGCTTATCAAGTATAACTCTCACTTTTAAGTGGGGAAGTTGAGGCTTGGGAATTTTAAATGACTCACCTAAGCCTGAGGTTAAACATCAGTCTTTCAACTCCTTGACTGAAGAGGCTTTTCTTTCCTATCTAGGATAAGGTGCCTCTTACTTTTTGTATTTATTTTATCATCTTGATCCTTTTGTTTCCATTCTCAATAGTAGGGCCCGGGATTGGGCTCCTTGCATATCCTGCTTATACCGTCCATAATTATTTGTGCCTGGACACTGCAGTTTCTCCCTACTTCCTCATATTTTTTCCTCATCCCAGCCCCCAACTCTTAGGAAAGGCTTCCTTGAATTTCTAAGTCCTTCTTAGGGTCTTGTACCGCCAAGACTGGCAGTGCTCTTTAAGCAAGATATCCCTGGCCCAGGCCCAGACCCGCCCGGATCCTGGTCTTCATTTGTCCCCTTAAAGATGTCTTCTGACCCTCTGTCTTATACAAGAGGTCAACCAGGTATTCTGAGGAGTTCTGGAACTCATGCCTATGGGGTCCTCTCAGAATCTGTGGTTGAGCCCCGATTTGAGTTCGACAATCTGGCAAGCGGATGACTCCTGCTGGCTGAAGCAGTGTGGGATAACTGAAGATCGGGCCGCCAGAATAGTGCTAGCACACTGATTTGGGGTGACTCTCACATTGAACACAAGGTAATTTCAGGGGGTCAGAGCTGGCGATAGTCTACCGCCAGCCCTGGGGCTTGAGCCACCAGTGTGGGCTGGTGTCCATCTGTGTTTTGACTGGTGCCACCTCTTGTCTATAGCACCTTAGAATAACAAGCATGGTGGCAGGTGTCTTTTTCCCTGCACTACTCTTCTTTCTGCAACCTCTAGCATCCAGGATGATCACCACCATTGCTGTAAGCTCTGTGCCATGTGTTAGGTAGTCCTTCAAGGATGGTTTTCAGACTAAACACCAATGCGTCTTCCAGCCAATGTCCTCTCTTATCTGCCATTGCTGTCTTATCTGACATTATGCTCTTCCTATCTTAAGCATGCTGAAGAGGGAAGTACATATCTCACAGGGGCAAGACCATGCTTCCCTCTTCACACATGAACCCCTCACCTAACCCCCTGACTGGTGTTGGTGTGTGGAAGGCAAGGATTCAGTCAACATCAAAAGAGCTCCCATTCTGAGAATGTGACGATTACTACCTCAAGAGTCCAAGAGAAGACAAGACTGGAAAATACCTTGTTCTAGATTTATACCACACAATTCTGAGTGGTAAACAGGACCAGAAAAGGAATATTGATTCACATTTACCTACATACTTTGGGGAAGGCTCACATCAACGAAGCATAGTACCAATCTTTGAGGAAGAGACATTGGAAGGCAGTGTAGCTGGATGATAACGTATCATGGCTAATAATGTGACCAGCATTACAGACATGCTATTGGGGAACTTCAGAGGCAAGAAGAGCTACCCTGTTTAATGTAAACAGGCTCTGAAGACCCAAGTCCTTGTGATTAATTACAGCACTGCTACCCTTTTCTCCTGGGAGAGTACATTAACCAGGGAGAGTACATTGGACAATAAAATGCCTGAAGGGATGGTTCCTGGATTTGAACAGGAAGAGATGGTGCTTGGACCCTACAAAGAATCTTTCAATGTGCCAACTGGAAAATAAACCATACATAAGTAACTCTTCTCTATCCATCTTCATGAATAAGACACTATACCTCTCATGGGTCCATATATTTTGAAACTTTTTTAAAATCAAATTATCTATAGAGAAAGGAGCCCTACATTGCAAAAAATCTTTTCCCTAACCCTTGGAGGCACCACTGAGAAGGAGACTGTCCTGCCTTATGCAGCCAGAACTTACCTTGTTTCTTATTTCTTAGCTGCTCAACTTGTTTTGGTTTTTGCGTAAGTTATTGACAGCAGGAGAATTTTGTCTCAAGTGCTAATGGGTCATGTGGTGAAATCCAGTGGTAAGACTGAAGGTTCTGACCAGGGGCAAAGACACATTCCAGTACCACACTATTATGGTTATTGGAAGTTTCTCCTACGGTTTTTATAAAAAAAAATTGAAAAGGGGTGCCTGGGTGGCTCAGTTGGTTAAGCGACTGCCTTCAGCTCAGGTCATGATCCTGGAGTCCCCGAATCAAGTCCCGCATCAGGCTCCCAGCTCCATGGGGATTCTGCGTCTCCCTCTTACCTTCTCCTCGCTCATGTTGTCTCTCACTGTCTCTCTCTCAAAAAAATAAATAAAATCTTTAAAAAAAAAATTGAAAGGAAGAGGGACATTT